CCTCTATCCTCTATTACTATACAGACCGCTATTCTCTACTCTATTCACTATACTATTTCTCTATTCGGATCACTATACGGATTACTATTCGAGCGACTATCATCGAGAAAGTGCTGTTAGTGTGAGTGTTATTCAAATGCGCTGACACCAGTATTGTTTGACGGCGTTATTATAGTTGTATCTGCGATTACAAAGTCTCTACTACAACAAGCATTACGAAAGTGACAACGAGTATTTTTTGTCATCACAACAACGATTTGCAACGAGTGTTCGTTAATATGACAAAATCACATAATCAGTGACAGGTATCAAAACGGGAGTCGGGAATTAAAGAAATATCTCTTGATTTATTAAATGTATATATCATCATATTTTATTATCGTGATTCTAATTGAGTTACGGCAAAAAAAATGAGGTACGCTCGAAATGAACAAATGAGACATTGGTGAACAATCACTCTTTTGGAATGTTGCCTTTTATTTCCTGGCAAGGCTTAGTTTTGGCACTAAATAACAAGAATAGGGCAACCAATGTGTAGCGAACGCGTGTCATTACAGACGCAAAAGAGGCCCCGGGTTGCGTGCAAACCTCTCTGTCGAAGCTAGTTAAATCTGGGTTTTCCTCGGTTAGCAGTAGAACATTTCAACATGTCCAGATACAGGCCTCTCTACATATTGTCTTAATCCAGGTCTTCCTCAAGTGTCACATGTCAATAACAGCGACTGGAAAACCATCAGTCGGTTTTTTGGCAAAACTCTTATTGCTGTTGTCAAAAGACGTGAATTGCTATTGTGAAGATATTCATTTGGCGCATTTTATTTCCGAAGTTGCTCGTCGACAGCCGTGCTGTGATTTATGAGGCAGTAGCCTTAATATTATTACATTATTCAGTTTTATTTTGTTTCCTCCCGTCATTTTACCTTCTCTGTTTGTTATCGCGTAATTCTGAAGCGAACAAGCTGTTAAGTATTTCCCGACCCTCAACACGCCATTTGCCTTATTTTACATTGTGACACTATTTAGCTGTGGTAATTGGCTAACTAATTAAGCATGGAAATTAAAAACGAGAAATACTTAAGGCGAGAAAGAGCTATAACGAAAGACATACCAGGCGACATTATTTTTTTAACAAAAGAAAAATGGGTAAAGATTTTATTTTCATTTACGAAGAAAGGTATTTTTTTTCGCAGAAGACAGAAAATTCGTAAGAAAAGCGGGTATCGGATTCTGTCAGAATTAATTAATATCATGACGCGACAAGGAAAACAGAATTCTGAAAGATAACCAAACTGGGTTGAGCATGCGACCGAGAAAGAATTCAGTGAGACCACCACAAAAGAATAGCCACCAATTATCTTTCGGAGATATCATTTGGTATTGCTTCTTGTGTCCAGAAGGAGACCCATCTGTTGTATGACCGGATCTTGTCATGGTAAGAATTAAGTGCCAAGGGAAACAGAATACGGATAAAGAATAACAATCTGCCCACCCGTGTGGAAATAATAAAAATTTCAATTCGGTTATCTTAAAAAAGAATAAAAAAAGACGAAGAAAGCCATTATTACTACTTGTACAAGCTGTTGGCAACAGAATGCGATGTTATTCAGACGGGATAGACAAAGAAATTTGGTGACCACCCAGTTAATGAGTCAGGAAAAATTCTGGTAATGAATTCGAGGTGACCCCTGGAATAATAATTTATAATAATAATTTAATGACCGCAGTGCGATTCATAAGAATTCTGGCCGATAGAAAAGAAAGAAAGTGAAGGGAACATACTTTTTTTTCTCTGGGCGATAATTGTAAACTGAGGCCAGTCTAGCCACACCCACACTGCCAAGCGTTCATTGGCTGAGTGGTAGCGTGAGTGATGGGCGAAGGTGAACATATGAGAAAGAAGGGAAAATTTTTGACGCCCTCTTAGGGGATTGGTGTGAGATACCAGTATGAGAAAGGAAGAGTTTAGGAAGATATTTCTCCTACGACCTCCACCCACAGAGGGGAGGAACCACTCTAAAACAGAAAGTAATTGACTTCTAAAAATGGGAAGTGATAAATTTTCCTGTCCGAAGAAAAAGAGAATCCTTATTGGGGATTTAGAATTATCGAAGAACCCAAAGCACGACAGGCCCCAACCCGGTTTTGGTCGGCATCCATATAAACGAACGTCCCCATAGCTTCAGACAGTTGGAGTTGAGTAGAGTTGCGGATAGAAAGAGTTCCAGAGAGAGTTATTGAGCTCGCAGACCAGCCTCGCAGGAGCTGACCGAAAGAATTCCACGCATTCCGAGTTAGACTTCTAACCAAAAGCATTTTTTTTCTATGAAGAACGACTTAGACTTACACCACCAAAACAAGTTTTAATGAAATCGCCTGAAGATACTAAAAAGCAGTTTATTGAAAAGCAACTTAAGATATCAAGACTCGCTTAAGAAACGCAAAGTGTCACAAATCCATAGAAGCGGCTTGGGAGAAAGACGCACTCCTGTATTCAGTAGACAGATATAAAGATACGACAAAGCTGATATCGAATCTAACCAGACATCGACCGTGACCAAGACAACCAGAGGGGTTAGTGTCACACATGGTTCCGTGGTAAACCAGATTTCCATCCGAACCAGCCAAGAGTAAGATCGTCACAGATGGTGCTGTAGTCAGCCCAGGGTTAGGTGGCGTCACAACTGGTGGCCGCGACCAGAACTGACCGGTGGCGTCACAATTGGCGCCGCGACCAGCACAGGACAAGTCCAGGATGGCGTCACAACAACACAGTGAGGATGGAAATCTTTACTAATGATCTATAAGCCTAGATTGTTAACCGTCACACAATGATGAGTTTAAGAACCGTTTTTATAGTAATTCAACTTCATAATAGCAAACAGTACAAGCTAGTCCATTTTGACAGGCTGGAATTTGGCAATGAAATTCTTTATATTAGATTAACACCAGATAATCGAGAAGGAGATAAGAGAATGCTTATTAACAAGATATTTTTTCGTTATTATTGCCTTCTAAAACTGCACTACGGTACATGAGTACATGTGTGTGTGCGCGCGCGCGTGAGTGTGTGTGTGCGCGCGCGCGCGTGAGTGTGTGTGTGTGTGTGCATGCGTTTGCGGCGCGTTGCCGAGTATTTAGGACCCTGATCTCGATCTCCCTTTCTTTGAATTGTCAGGAAGGTGATTTCATCTTATCGATATGGGGGGGGGGGGATTCCAGCGTGAGGTCATTTGGAAATCAAGGTAATCCCGCGACGACACCTGTACAAAGCAATATTGTCTACTCACGGAGAAAATCCATGGTAGTGTAAGACATGTGGTGCTTTATGGCAAAGTGTCGATTTTTATGAGAAAATTTACTGTAAAAACTTCTGCTGGACAGTGGACAGTCCAACATCACTTCGATTGCTCTCGACTGATAAATGCAACACTACAAACAAATTAATTTAAACGCAACAAATCAAACCTTCTTTTATATGTTTTAAATTCGTTCGCTCTAAGTCCTTCTGTATATTTATGAGATGAGTTACTGTTGCTATACAAAAGATCTGTCTTCAATATAACACCAGGACGACGATCAAAAGGTGTTCACCTCCTCCGCGTAAGACCTGCCATAAAGAACGTGATTAAGTACTGTGTACGCCATCCCATGCAGCTGTAGCAAAAAATATAAAGGCGAAACACGCCGCATATTTAAGATTAGACTGCAGGAACACCGTAAAGCCGTAACATGAAAAGAAATAGAAATTCAGGTGAGGCTGACCATATTGGCAGAGTAAAGGGAGATCACTGCCACATGCTGGATGCGGTTGTAATGAGAGACAGAGAGTATCATTGGAAAATACGAAAACTTTAAGGAATCAGTGCATATGCTAGGTCACAAAATCTCCTACGTCGGCCATACATAGACATGAATACAGCTTGGACACCAGTAATAAAGTGGGACTAGAGCAATCTACCTCGGTAGACGAAATAAAGGGTTCGGTTTGAAATTCTAATCGCATGAAGAAGACCGGAGTGTACAGCGGCCGAAACATCGTGAATATGACAACAAAGATGAGGACAAGAATCCGAAAATATAAATAGTGTAAATTAATTCCTCATACCTCTATATGAAATATAGGGCGAAGTTTTGTTTATTCAGTCTTTGTTGCAAATTAAAAATGTAATATTGTTGTAACTGTCTTATGTTAAGATTAATTTTCTGCATCTCTGGTCGTGTAAAGTAACTGTAGAATAGTAATTAATAGTGTAAAAGTAAATATTTTGCTTTGTTCCAGATAATTTTCCAAATGTGAAACTGATTTTTAAAGCACATAAACATTTGTCTAAGTGGGCATTAATAGTGAAAAAAAATATAGCCTTACACAAAATGGTTACAAATAGTGACTGTCGCTAAGCGAAATAAATTCATAAATGTATGTAAGAGAAAATAATTAAACATTATTCTTCAGAAGGAATAAATTTAGACGTTAAAAATTTCCCTGGATCAAATAATTATTCATATCAAATTTACGATTTCTGTTTGAATTGTAAAATATATTATTGTTCGAGGATAAATTATATAAATTATGAATCTATATCCAAAGCAATTATAAAGACGGGTCAAAGTAAATTAAATGAAAAAATGCCGTATATAATCGTTTATAAGCTGATTTCATCCCTGGTTTGTTTGTTTTTTTTATTATTATTAATTCTAACCTCTTAAGAAAAGATTTACTTGTGTATAGTGCAATTGGTCACAGAAAATCCATGATTTTTAACCTCTTCAAAAATAACCTGAGAATACTTTGGGTAAAAAAATCATCACAATACGCATTACACTCGAGTATATACGGTAATCGAATTAATATAGAAAATATTCCAAATCAGATTTAAACTTTCACATATTCTCATTGATATTAAACAGTCCTGATGATGAAACAAAAGATAAAACATGAATTACATTAAAATATTTTTTTATGTTAATCAAATGCCAATTCCTAGAAACAGTCAACCACACATTAAAACGCATGTTCCTGTACGATCACCAAAGTTAAACAACGTTTTGCTTGGTCAGTACCAAAATGGGTGACCGCTTGGGAATACCAGGTGCTGTAAGCTTGGATGTGCGGGTGGTGTAATGAATAATGGCTCGAAATTTGCTATCAGAGAGCCAAGTTTCAATTCCAGTTGATTTCGTTATATTCATTTACGCGTAAAATGCCTTGAAAAAGGTAGGACCCCCCGCCATTTTATGGGTTAATATGTAAGACTAGTAGCGATCAAACAATTATTATCACAAAAATAAATAAAATTAGGTAAAAATATTTAGATATTAGCATTAAATAACCCACAGAATTTAATATTCTGCTAAAGAAAAACAACCAACTCAGCAACATTCATTAGAGTTCTTTCTAAAGATTAACACGTCTTCTCTTTTATTAAGTAATTATTATGATGTCGAGAAAGCTTTGGTTAAAGAATGAAATGATATTTAAATCCAGGAAAAAAGTTTCAACAAGCCTGCGGTAAAAGCCAAAAATAAAAGATAAAAGAACTGTGTAAATAGATGAAGATTGTTTTTTTAAACAAAACTAAAAAATAAACATTGATTTTTTTTCTTTTAAAAATGTTTTTATCTTGTTGATCTCGTTTCGATTAGCACCTGTCTTTAGACTTAGAAATAACCTTGGAATTCTATTACAATTGCAACTGAAGCGAATGGAACAAACATGTTTTATTTTTCCTTCATCTGCTTTTCACATAGCGTGAAAACTTGGCACGAAATTAAAATAAACACGATTTGCGAATTTTTATTCAACAGTAAAAGCCAAATGATTATTTTAATACAAATGTCTTAGAACTTATGGCATTAACTATCATCACGTCTACGAAGCAGACATTTACTAGTTTTATTCATTAATTTATTACGGCCTATCAATCTTAGCAGCTTATGTGAAGCCAGAACATGTTTTTAGATTGCAAGAATGTCTTGGAGATAATAATGGTTTACTGATACAATTCCTATTAATTTATCCATAGCTGGGGAAGAAGTGGTAGTTTCGTACCTTTCCCAAGTGTATTTCTGCTTACGTGAATATGACGAACTCAACTGGAATTGGAACTCGTAGAATTAAGTTCGACCTCCGAACTGTTAACCATGGCACTATCTGAACATCCAAGCTTTCAGAACCTGGTACATCTAAACGGTCACCTATCAGGGTACTGCCCAAGATCGACGTTGCCTAACTTCGGTGATCGTTCGAGAACCGATGTTTTAACGTCATATGGCCGTAAGCAAGCAGTTACTTTGCTTGAAATCTATATGTAATATAGAGTAAACTCTATTGTGTATTATGTAATACTATTTGACGATAGTCTGTTATTGTATTACCTACTTTGGCATGGATGTAACATTTTTGAAAACAAATCAGGAAAATGTTGCAAGAAGAAATGATTAAATGACAATAACAAACTATTCTCATCAAACTTCTGTAGAACTAAATCTCTATTTACATTATTCCGTTATTGTACTGTGATTTTTTCTGCCCTAAATTGCAAAAATAGTTACGGTTTACGAACATTTCGGACTGCTAATGGCCTTCAGGAATGAATTAAACTCGTGAACCGAGGTCCCACTGTATATACAATGCTGTGCAAAAGTAAGTGAACCGACTATTTACATTATTCGAACAATTGTCTTCATCTTTATCGCCATATTTATTACAACGTTTCGGTCGTTGTAAGCTCCGGCCTTCTTCAGGTGGTTGGAATGTCGAACTAAACCCTTTATTTCGCTCACTGTGGTAGACTATTCTAGTTCTACGTACACAGTGACAGGACCCAAAGAGTATGAGTTCAATACCTGGTTAAGGTAGTGGAGAACTTGGAGAGGAGAATTAACTTGTCAGATAACTGACAACTGACATCCATTAAAAAACATGGCTCGTGGAACTAGAACGATCTACACCAGTGAGCGAAATAAAGGGTTCAGTTCAAAATTCCAACTACCTGTTGAAGGCCGGAGCGTACAACGTCCAAAACGTTGTAATAAATATGGCGATAAAGATGAGAACAATAGTCCGAATAATGTAAATAGTGTACATAATACCTCATCTCAGAAATATAGACAGTGTGAGGAACATATCCAGAATTCTCAACTACATAAGAGGACTGATATCATCCAACAGTTCCGCGTTTTTTTTTATGTGTCTAATGGAATCTTTCTGATTCCAAGAACTTTACTTAGATACGCGATACCATCTGTTCTTATTCCAATGTCCCTTTGGGTTTCTGTGTCATGTTTTCCCTTTTTCAATTAACATTTCCCAAGATATAAACATTTCTGTATTTACATGATTTTCTCATCTCCAATTTTTAGCTCGCATCTTGGGCTGTTCGTCTTGCTAACAACCGTACACTCTTTCTTCATATTTCCCTCTGAACTTTTTACCTTTAATATGTTCTGTCAGTCCCAAATTCTACAGGCGCACTATACAGAGAAATATACACACACAGAATGACACAGAGAAAAAAACACTCACCTTGAACGACACGCAGTGGCCTAAACAAACACGCCAGTAGTTTATTTCGGATTGATAGAAATATTATGTGTTACGATAATATATTCATCTCAGATCAGTAATAGACATTTTCGAAGCCGAACTTCATAATAACTGAAAAGTCCTGATCAGTAATAATGGAGTTCTGGATACGACTTTTGGAATAATTCTCACATTAATTTGAATTCAATAAACTATTTTAGATTAATCGATATGAAAATTCCACAGGGAGACAATATTTTGTCTTTTTTACAATTTTTAAGTTTCGTAGCGTACAATGAAAATTTATCTGATTGGAAAACACGAAATCATTTTTTTGAGAAGTTTTTAACAACTGGTACCTCCAAGACGCCAAATATAAAAATTGACTGTTTGCATTTGTACTCACAACAAAAAACAAAATAAACACTTCAATTTATTTCGATAACATTTCATCTTAAATGGATAACGTATTTAAGTTAGATCTAATAAATAATTCGTATGATACAGAAAGAATTTAAATTCTCGGTTTTCAGTTTATTTGTTATTTTTTTCTCATTTTCATGTTTTTCATTATTTCTTATATTTTCTTCTAGACTTTTCTATGTTCCTTCCTTCTGTTTTTCCTTTGTCTTTTCTTTCTTCTCTATTTTCCCTCCATATTTGTTTTTTTCTTTCCCCTTATCCATTTTTTCCTTGCTTGTCTTGTCTCGCTCTTCTTTTCATGTTTTCCTTTTTTTTTCTTCAGTTTTCTCCTTTTTCAGGTTTACGGCCACATCATGTTAAAACATCGGCCGTCGGACGATCGCCAAACATTAAGCAACGTCGGGACAGTTCAGTAACTACATGGGTGACCGCTTGAGAAATCTAAGTACTGTAAGCATGGATGAGTTTGTAAATGGAACTCGGAGAGTTGAGTTAAAAAAAAGTCGTCTTCCAACTTCTGTTGATTTTATTATATTGACTTCTGCGCAAACACGCTTGGGAAAGTTATGAATCCACATCTCCCTAGCCCCTAACTATGGGTTAATTTTAGGACTTGTATGAAGGAATCTCCAAAAGATTCTTAAAATCTAAAACTATTTTCTGGTTCTAAATAACCTGCGAAAGGTTGATAAGGCATAAAACATAAAATCAATCAAAAAAACAGATCTTCGCTTTTTCCTTTTTATTTTTTATTTTCCATCTTTTCCATTCGTTTTACTTTATAACGTCTATTTCCTTTTTCATTCATTTTCCTTCATTTTCTTTTTTCTTTTCGCCTTCGCTTTTTTATAGTCTTTGATTTCTTTCTTTTTTTTAGTTTCCTTCTTTATACGTCGTTTTCGATATTTGTTCGTTTGTGTTTATCTTCGTTTGCTTTTATCATTCATATTATTTTCCTTTTCCCAATCTTTTATGTTTTTTTTCTTTCGTATTCTACATCATTTTCTACTGTTTAATTCTATTTCTTCTTTTTCTTCATACACTCATTCTATTTTTCCATTTACTTTTTCATTTCTTCTTACATCGCAGGTTTCATCTTCCATTATTATAAACGACTTTTTAAAATATTTACTCCCCTTCTTCATTCATTATTTTCTTTTCGTCTTGTTTATTTCCCTCAACGGCATTTTATAGTTTTACTTCCTTCTTTTCTTTTCCTTTCCAATTCTCCTTCCTCTTTTTAATCTTCCTTGTCTTTTTACACTCAAATATTTATTATTTTCTTTATTCTTTCTTATCTTCTTCCTTTTTGCATGTTCCATCATTTTTCCTTACATTTTCTATAGTTTTCTTCTTCTTTTCTTTGTAAGCTTATTTCTTTCTCTTCCATTTTTATTTCCTCTCACTATTTAGTGTGGCTCGCAAACTCTTTTGTATCTTCTTCGTTTCTCCCATCAACTTTTTAATTTCTTTTCCTTTTTGTCCCATTTTTATCATTCATGTCTCGATTTCATTCATTCGATCTCATTCCTATTGTATATTTCATTTTTTCCTCCTAGTTGGCTTCTCTTCTTTTCATTATTTTCATGCCTTTCTATTTGACTTCCTTTGCTATATTTCCTTCCTTTGCTATTTTTCCTTCCTTTGCTATTTTTTCTTCCTTTGCTATTTTTCATTTTTACCTTTCTTTTTATACAGGGTGCGGCTGGTATCTGAGGACAGATTTTATGGATTAGTTAAAAATTTGCTGAAGAAATTAATCTGATTATATTTGATTACAAACAAGTAAACATGACATTTAGCTAACTATTATTTAATTTTATTCAATAAAACCACCACTAGCATCAGTAACTGCCTCTACACGAGGTCGAAATCGACTTCAAGCTCTGATTAATTGGTTCTTATTTATGTCAGACATTACTCGAACTATTGCAGCTTTAAGAGTCTTTAGTGTTATGAGGCTGTTTATTAACCTTCTTCTCAACAACACTCCACGCATAATAGTCTAATGGATTGAGATCTGGAGAATTAGGAGGCCAAATGTTGAGTGTGATGTGGTCATACAAATGGTCAGCCATCCATTTTTGTGTTCGTAGAGCCTTGTGGGATGGAGCCGAATCTTGCTGGAACATGTAAGGTCTGCCGTTGCGTATGTTGTCAATACAGGGCTTATCAACTGTTTCTCGAGCCTCAATATATGCAACATTTACACTAAGACCTTGTGGAAAAAAGTGTGGTGGCATTGCATGTCCTACATTGCTAACAACACCCAATACCATAACACTTGGAGGAAATTTTGTGCGCACCACTCTTGGCACCTCAGAAGAATCTGAACAAAGCCATCTGTCATTTCTTCTGTTAAGTTCTTGATCTTGAGCAAAATTTTCTCATCTGAGAAAAAACAAATCACACCACCTTGTGAAGAATTTTTTTTAAAGTCTGTTTAAACGGTTTTATTTTGTTTTATCAGACATAAATTGACCTCTCGACATCACGTCAGACTTGTATCGAATTTCTTCATGAACACTCCTTCTGATTGTTTTTTCAGACACATGCAGCTTTTTGGCAATTGACCTCATTGATTGACCTCGGTTTTCATCAATTGTTTGCTTGACTTCCTGAATAAATTCGGGTGTTCTCACTTTATCAGAACGTACAAAATGTCTTTTACGTCTTCTAACTGTTTTTATATCTTGTGGACAAACGATCTTGCAACTTTGTGGAAATGTGCAATATCCAAATCGCTATGATCAGCCTTTAATGCCACAAGCACAGCATACCTTTTCATTTCATTTGTTATCGTAGGGTCTGCCATTCTTGATTTCTGAAAAATAAAGGCATTAGAAGTTAGTAGGCAGCAGTATTAATCTTAAATCTGTATGTTCTCAAATACCAGCCGCACTATATATATTCCATTGTGTTCCTTCCCTTCTTTTTTCATTCTTCTCAAATTTCTATTTTCTCTTTCACTCTTTTCTCTCATCTTTTCTTTCTCTTTTGGCTTCATCACTCTTTCCCTTCATTCCATCTTTCTTTTCTATCTTTTCATTCCTAACATTTTCCCTTTTTCTTTTCATCTTCATCCATCATTCCTTTCATTATTCATTCTCTTTTATCTTCTTTCCTTCCTTCTTTTCTTCATCATTACATCGTTTCTTTGGGGTTCATTTGGCGGCTATAAATCTTTCTACAGAAGAATGTAAAATCTATAATTCAATCACAGAAACATGAAGTCAAGTTCTTCTGTATTTATATTTATTAAATTTTCTTTGTTCCTATTTTTGCGTTGATGCTATTTTCACGAAAAGGTTTCGAGAATCAAGTTTGTATAATATTTAAATTTATGTCCTTTTTTGTTAAAAAATAAAGTTCTTCGTTTTTTTCTTCTTTTATGCTTTACTTTTTCTTTTATTTTCACTTTAAGCTTTTATTTCTTTTTCTTTTTCGTCTTTTATTCTAGTTTCTTTATTCTTTGCTGCAATAATTCTTCATTATTCTTTCTTCCCTTTTCGTCCCTTTTCGTTGCATTATATTTTTTATTCTTTTATTTTTTTCTTTCTGAATTTTTCTCTCATTTTAAGCGTATGTTTTTTTTTAATATTTTCTCGTATTTTCCATTCTATTTTTCTTTAATTTTATTAGATCTTTTGTTTTCATTCTTTTACTTATTTTTCTCGTTCTATTCCTTTAATTTCAATATTTCCTTCTCGTGTTCTGTCAACCGCTTTTCTTTCATTTTTTTTTTTTCATTCTTTCCTTCTTTTATTCTTGAATGCATTTTTCACTTATATATTTTAACTTAACTTCTTTTTTATTGGATATTTCTTTCATTCTTTCTTTCTACTATTCTTTCTGAAATAAATCCTTGCTTGTATTTTTCCCTTATATATTTTGCTTTAAATTCTCTTCTACTTGATATTTCTTGCTTCCGTTCTTTCTTGGATCCATATTTCTTTCATACATTTTGCATTAACGTCTTTTTATTGAATATTTCTTTCTTTTTTTTTCTCTCTAATTTTTGCATTCTTGCTGTTTTTCTTTCTTTCTTATGATTTGTATAAATAAGTCACACCATAATGTTCAATAAAGGCACATTATGCCGAACTAGACTCCGAGCTTTCATTACAATTTCTTTAATCAATTTTTCTTTTATATTATACTTTAGTTTACTTCTTTCTCTTGTTACTATCTTCCTTTCTTTAATCCATTTTCAATTCAACTTCTTTTTTATTTAATATTTCTTTCTTTCGTTCTTTCTTTCTTGGATCCGTTTTTTCTTTTATACATTTTAACTTCTTTTTTATTGGATATTTCTTTCTTTTTTTTCATATTATTCCTACGTTTCTGTCTTTCTTTCTTGAATTCATTTTACTTTTATATTCATCCTTAGTTTATTTCTTTATCGTTTCCCTTTCTTCTTTTCTTTCTTGAATTCATTTTTCAATTCTATTCAACTCCTTTTTTATTGTTTTCATTCTTCTTCTCTTACTAGTTTTTTTCTTCTTTCTTTCTTTCTTTCTTTCTTTCTTCATTCAAATCTACTTATTTTTGTGTTCTTTTCTGTTAAGTTAATGATTACAAAATAAAAACATTTTATAACTTTTTATAAAGGGATCACAGATGCAACAACATAATAATGTCGTATAAAAACCATACCGAGTTTATTTTTCCCATCAATATTCTAAGATAAATATCAGACACACAAAGAGGAGAAGAAGAACATGTTGAAAAAATGACTTAAGGTTAATCGGTGCAATAGTCGTAAATGAAATCTAATTTACAATCGGAAAATGAACAGAACCAAATCGTTTATGAAAAATAATGCCTTTGGCTAAACTTTATCCGAGGCTGGTTGATTATCACTTTTCTTTCTTGCTTCGTTGATTGGCCAATCAGAAACATCGAATGCTAGGAATTGTTTGCAGGAAATCAAGTACGATTAATGACATTTCCGTTCGATTACATTTCAAATGTAATTTTTTTGTTTATTATTTTCTTATTCATTCTCTGTGTTTGTGTGTGTGTGTTTTTTTTTAACTTTTCAGTTCCCCCAGCACACGCACACATTATGACACCTTTGTTTTTTTTTTTGTTTTTGTTTTTTTGTTGTTTTTTATTTATTCTCTTCCAGAAAGAACGGCTCTTATGGTATGATTTCTCTTTTCCATCTATTTAAGCCATTTTTATCAACTACGAAGAAGTTCTTTGAATTTTTTCGACTTGTATATTTGAATATTTTTTTTTCGTTTCTCTGACACTAGATTTACTATACATTTCCTTTGATTCTTTACTATTTTTTTTTATTTTTTATTTTTGAGTTTACTTCTTTCGACATTCAATTCATTTTATTTGTCTTTCTTTCTTTCATTCTTTCTTTCTCTTTGTTCAGATAATTCTTTCTTTCTTCCTTTTCTTCGCTTAATTCATTTTATCTTTGTTTCTTTCTTTCTCTTCTTTGTTCAGATAATACATTCTTTCTTTCTTTTCTTCACTTAATTCATTTTTTCTTTCTTTATTTATTTCTTTCATTTTTTCTCCTCTTTGTTCAGATAACTCTTTCGTTCTTTCATTTGTTCACTTAATTATTGATTTCTTTCTTTCTTTCTTTCTTTCTTTCTTTCTTTCTTTCTTTCTTTCTTTCTTTCTTTCTCTTCCCCTCCCTTGTTCACGTCATTGTTTCTTTGTCTATTTCTTTCTTTCTTAATATCACTCCACCTTCAATTATATGATTGCCTTTCATGACTACATTTACCTTTAATATTGTTTACCCGCCCATTTTTAATTACATTTCTATTTCTTCATAGATTTTCATATTCGCCATTGGCCTTCAGATTTAGTACTTCATTTTTATTTTCACTTTCTCTATTTATAAACATTCTTCCCATGAATATTCTCTCTTTATTCTTTTTCTGTCTTCTTTCATGAAAGTTCCTATAATTTCTACAGATAACGGCAGAGTCTGTCAAACTGATGTTTGAGATATTGGCACCTTTTCAGTGAGGCACTTTAATAGATTCCCAGAAGATATACAACTTAATTTCGCACCAAACAAACTTTAAACCCCGTGCAATGTATTTATCGCAAAAGCAATGCTAGTAATAGTCATCTATAAATTGATAATTTCAGTATAGACTAATAAATACCAATGTGGAATTTTTGCTGTCATAGAATTTATGTTTATTCCGTCATATTTCTCCGAGTTCTTTCTCACAATTCTTTCATTACGTCTCTCTTTCTCTCTCTTTATATATATATATATATATATATATATATATATATATATATATATATATATATATATATATTCAAAAATTATAACATAAACCTGTTATACCATCACTAAAAAATATCCATTTTGTTTTAGCACTTCTGGTGTCTTCTCAAGTGATGGTGTCAAATGTAGAATAAAGAGTTTTAAAAGGCATATATATATATATATATATATATATATATATATATATATATATATATATATATATATAGAACACTTAGCAATGATTTTATCAAGGATTCGCTACTTCTCTCTTCATATCCTCTCTATTATCTATACTTATTAGAAAGACCAGTGATAGAGCTAACATACATACATATATATATATATATATATATATATATATATATATATATATATATATATGTATATATCACTCTATTTAAACATAAAACACATCGAAGGGCTTACCGTACTTCAGGAAGCACTTACTAAAAGAAGAAAACAAAATTTATCATAAAGCTCTTGGAGCATATTATTACATTGTATATTTTCAACTTCAATGGAGCACGAAACTTTCAAGTAAGAGGTTGTGCCATGGGCACCATTGCAGCTCCATCATATGCTACAATATTCATGGGAAAATTTGAGGAGACTCATATATAACTCCCCATCGGTAGCGATTGCGTATTCTATGCAAGATTTATCGATGATAAATTCTTTGTATACACAGGCAGTGACGACAAACTTATCCAATTCCTCATGACCCTAAACACAGTGCACGACTCAATTAAGTTTGACTATGAAAAATCCACAACATCAGTAACATTTTTAGACACCCGCATTTACATAGATGAATACATGAAACTACAAACTACACTACACACTAAAATCACCGACACCCACAACTATTTACACTTTAAGTCTTCCCACCCTAAACACCTCAAAGAGAACCTTCCCTATTCACAAGCACTTAGACTCCGAAGGATATGTTACAAAAATGAAGAACTAAATTGAAAATCTGGAGCATCAATTCACAACACGTGGCTATAAGCAACACCTAATCAGGGAACAAATAAATAAAGCAATTTCCACACTTAGAGAGGAAACCCTAATGTAGATTAAAAATAAACCCAGCCGCATCCCTCTAGTAACCACTTTCAACCCCACTCTGCCTCCACTATCCCAAATAATCAAAAGTCTTTGGGAAATACTACATCTCAAACCAGGCCTGAAAAAATTGTTTGATGAACCCTGCCTTCTAGCATGTCGTAGACCTAAGAACCTAAAAGAAATCATAGGTAGCAACCACATTTCAGGGGACAAGTTAATCTGTAATAAACTAAGCACAAAATAACAGGATCCCCCCCATGTAACAACAAAAGAAGCTTATGCTGCAACCACATTAGACACAGGAATTCATTCACTAGCTCAGTCATTAAATCGTAGGCGCACTTCACCAAATCTCCCTTCCTCCAACTGCTCTGCGACACCATACGTATTCAATGCGTGGGCGTATTTGGGCAACATGTCTCGTATCTTGCTCACGACAATCCCATACACATATACATGCCCAGCCCTATCCATTTCTGTATACATTGTGTTCTCTTTGGTTTCAACTGTTCAACTTAGAGAGAAAACTGTGTACTAGGATAGTGTGCTGGACAAAGAGCTTGAGAATACTTGCAACATACACATTACTTTTGTACCCATCAGGATTAGAATGTGCAAACGATGGCGACCTGATGAAAAATCTACACCAACCAAATGACCTCATTTTGAAGCTTGACTGAGTATGGAGAACCCTGTGAGGAATGACGTCAGTACTCGAAGAAAAGGCTTATCCCAGGTGATATCATCGAGCAATTCCTGCAGCTTCAGCAATAGAGCGTATATAGACTTGAGGTCTGGGGTAAAATTGAGTCCCTGTGCAAACGACGAATGTAAACATTAGAATTAATATTTTTAAACTCTTATGTAATAACCAATGAATAAATTAAGCCCCGACCACCGGCATTAATCTGTCTGTATCTTCAGTATGACAAATCTGAAATTAGATTTCCACTTATGTGTTTTCGTTATGAACTTGATTAAATCCGATTTGATATTTTCCGCTAAAAACATTTTTGAACTTTATCAAAAAATATTTTGTGATAGAGACGACACCAGAGGATTTTTAAAGATTATCCCAGAACGTCATCCTAAACTTGACAGGGTGAAACGATGATGTAAAGAAGTATCACAAAAATTATATATATATATATATATATATATATATATATATATATATATATATATTACAATTATCATTTCTTTTATTGTATGTTTTGTTGTCGTTTGGTTTTATTCATAAAAATTATGTCTCTTTCACTTTCCCCAGCTATTTCTCTCTTTATTCGCCTTTCTTTCACTCTATTTCTAGCATCATTTCAATTTCCTCTTGTCTCTCTCTCTCTCTTTCACTTTTATGTTTTTCGTCTGCCCGTTTTTTAATCTCTCACTCTATCTTCTCTCTCTCTCTCTCTATATCTCTCTCTCTCTTGCGTCGTATTTCTATTTTCTTTTTACTTTATCTTTCTGAATTTAATGATTATTCATCGCTTTATTCCACTTTCAGACTTTGTACATTTTCTCTCTCTCTCTCTCTATCTCTCTCTCTTTATTTCTTTTTCTTTGTCTTCCTACCTCTTTAAGTCTCATCTGTCTCTTATTCTCTTTTAGCATCTTTCTCCCTTTTTCCAACCCCTCTCTTTATATTCATCTCATTCTCTTTGTCAGTATTTACCAATGTTTCGCTTCGATTCTTCCCTCTCTTTCTTACTCATTTTTTCAGGCTGTCTCTCTTTTCATCACGCAGTCTTTATATATAGTTCTTTCTTTCCCTGCCTTTTGTTATAGAATATTTATCGCACTATTTCATTTTCATCTCATTCTCTTTATTTTCCACTCTTTTCGCATTACTGTCTTCTTCTTCTCTCTCCCACACTTTCTATCTTCCTGTCTCTCTTCCAATTACAACCTCCCCATACCATCTCCCGATACTCAGTCTCTCTTTCCTCCGTCTATAATTTGCCTTTTTTATAACCTGTTTCTATTTCTTCAAACTTTGATGCTTAGCTTTGTATGTAAAAATGTTAAAAGAAATCAAAATGAATTCAAAGGAAGGCTGCTGACACCAGCCATAGAAGCAGCAGCAGAAGCAACAGAAGCAGCAGCGGGATAAGAAGCAGCAGGATAAACAGAAGTAGCAGAAAAATTAGCAGAAGATGCAACAGTAGAAACAAAAAGCAGCAGGATAAACAGAAGCAGAGAAGCAGCAGAAGAATTAACAGAAGATGCAACAGTAGAAGCAGATGAAGCAGCAACACGAGAGGCAGCAGTAGTAGAAGTAGCATCAGTCGCAGCAGCAGTTGAAGCAGCAATAGATGCAGCAGTAGAAGAACAGTAGACAATCATAACATTAGATTTAAGGTTTCAAGTTCTAACTCCAAGATTCTCCTACGAGTTTAATCTTTGTTTCTTTTTATGTGCCATGTCCTTTCAGGACGTAGGCGATCATGGCTCATCACCTCCCTCTATCCCTTGCAGCTCTCAACAAATTCCTTCCCAATGCTTCCTCTCCCAGACCATGTTCTGTCATCTACTTGATTAAGTCTGCTAGGTATGTCAAACGTTGTTTTCCCTTGTCTCCCTTTCCCTCTATTCGACCCGTTAGTATTAGATTCTCCAGACCCTCTTTCCTCATTATGTGTCCCAGAATCTTCAGCTTCCTCTTCCTGGTATTAAGTATAAGTCTCCCCCTTGTTTGCAACATCTTTAAGACCTTATCGTTACTCACACGTTCCGTCTATGATATCCTCAGCATCCTTCTGTAGAACCACATATCTGTCGCCTCGAGTTTTTTCTTCATCTTTGAGGAAATCATCCAACATTTGCTACCGCAAAGAAGGACAGATGCCACATCGCTTTCTGCCGTCCTGATTATGCTTTTCTTTTTCTGCTCATTAGTATGGTTTCTGTTCCTAATTCTTCCATTTTGTCTCAGAGGCTTAAAATCGATTAAAAATGTTGCTAAAGTTAGCCGAGTAAGAACTTTAATAGGAAAAGTAAAATAAAGAAATTATAAATCGTTTTATTGCTTAGGCGCCACACGGCTAGACCAATAGGATAACTAATAATAATAATAATAATAATAATAATAATAATAATAATAATAAAAAGTGCCTCCTTATTGATATGGTAGTCCCTGCAGAGTGCAATGTATCTTTGAAGATCTTCAAAAAAC